TTCATCCTTTTATATAAAGAACACCAGTTTATGACATAATAGTATATAAAGGAATTTGAGCATCCATGGATTATGGTATCTTGCGTAGAGGTGGGGAGCTGCAGATACCAAAGGTCATCATCATCATCATCATCATCATCATCATCATCATCATCATATTTAATTACTTATTAATCGCCCTCCATCTGAGAATGCTCTAGGCGATTTACAGCTACATTGTAAAAGATAAAATACATATATACATACAGAAATTAAAAATTAACAGAGATCGAATGCTCTAGTATGGTCCACTGTACCTCTTTATCAGCACAAGCAAATAGCTCTCTTTATGTGGAGCACACACCTCAGAATATGAGATTCCAAGGTGTCTTGAAGCAGCATTGAATTTTACTGGAGTTGCAAGCCACCTTGAGTCCCATGCGGGGTGAGAAAGGCAGGGTATAAATGAAGCAAATAATACTAACTAAATCTATGCAACATATTTAAGGGTGCAGAGTTATCGATATATTCTTTAAACCAAACATCTTTTTAAAAACCCAGGGCTCTATAACATGTTCATCTGAGCAAGTAAAAACGTAACTCTCTTTGAAGATATTTTCCTCCACCTTTGAAGTGAACTCTAGTTTTTAAATGTGCATCAAAGTTAACATCTGGTGCATGTTAAAAATTAAAGAAGCAGTCCGGGGAACGAGTGAAAGAAAGTACTATTGTCTGTTATAGTAGAGGTCATTTCTGTAATGCTATGATGTCATCTAATCGTAAATAATATTCTACTGAAATGAAGGATGATCAGCAAATTAATTCCTATTTTGACTTAGTTGTTTAATTGAGCCTGGCTTCCCTGTATAATCTAGTTGGCCCAAATTTTAAATAGCATAATTTAGATAGCTATATGTGACAGCATCACTCTTTCACGGTTCTGAAAGTTGCCGTGGTATCTCCGCTGCTGAAGAAACCAGACTTAGATTTCTCAGTTCCCTCCAATTACCGCCCGGTTTCGAATCGTCCATTTCTGGGAAAGGTGATTGAGAGGACGGTAGCAGAGCAACTGCAGCAGTTCCTACAAGACACAGCTGGATTAGATCCCTTCCAGTCCAGCTTCCATAAGCGGCATGGGACGGAGACTGTGTTGGTCTCTGTTACAGGTCAGCTTCACTGCCAGATGGATCAAGGAGAATCAGCACTGCTTGTGCTACTGGACCTTACGGCAGCATTTGATATGGTTGATCCCAACCTCTTGATTCACTGCCTAGCCATGGCTGGTATCAGGGAGATGGCCCTTAAATGGCTGTCCTCTTTCCTTCAAAAATGGGGTCAACGTGTGGAGTGGGAAGGGTCAGTCTCTAAGAGGGCCCCTCTTAAATGTGGGGTCCCTCAGGGGGCTACCCTTTCCCCTCTGTTGTTTAACTTCTATATGCAACCACTTGCCCAGCTGGTGCGAGGCTTTAGGCTTGAGTGCTATCAGTATACTGATGACACTCAACTCATTCTGAGGATGGAAAGCCGACCGGACTCCATACTTGACAATTTCCACCAATGCCTTGGGGTCGTTACTGGATGGCTGCGTGCCAGCAGGTTGAGGGTGAATCCAAAGAAGACAGAGATCCTTTGGCTGGGTCGCCCAGACGGAGGGGCGATCCGGTTGCCTACCCAGGATGGTGTGACATCATGCCCGTCATCTTTGGTAAAGAGTCTGGGAGTCCTTTTAGACCCTCTGCTGAAGATGGAGGCCCAGGCTTCCACTGTGAGCAGAGTCGCATTTTACCATCTGCATCAGGCTAGGCCACTGGCTCCCTATCTGTCCAGGGACGACCTGGCCACAGTGATCCAGGCTATAGTAATCTCAAGATTGGACTACTGTTACGCCCTCTACATAGGCCTGCCTTTATCAGTGATCTGGAAACTTAAACTAGTGCAAAATGCTTCTGCCTGGCTTCTCGCAGGGGTCTCAATGAAATGTCATATCACTCCAATCCTGCAGCAACTGTTCAACCCCACAACCCTTGTCGTGTGGGGTTCCTCGGGGCTCAATACTGTCCCCCATGTTGTTTAATATCTACATGAAGCCACTGGGAGAGATCATCCGGAGTTTTGGGGTACGGTGTCATCTGTACGCAGATGATGTCCAACTCTGTCACTCCTTTCCACCTGCTACTAAGGAGGCTGTCGAGGTCCTGAACCGGTGCCTGGCCGCTGTGACGGTCTGGATGAGGGCGAACAAATTGAAATTGAATCCAGACAAGACAGAGGTACTCCTGGTCAGTCGCAAGGCCGAACAGGGCATAGGGTTACAGCCTGTGCTGGATGGGGTCGCACTCCCCCTGAAGACGCAGGTTCGCAGCTTGGGTGTGATCCTGGATTCATTGCTGAGCCTGGAACCCCAGGTTTCGGCGGTGACCAGGGGAGCATTTGCACAGCTAAAGCTTGTGCGCCAGCTGCGCCCGTACCTTGGGAAGTCTGACTTGGCCACGGTAGTCCACGCTCTGGTTACATCCCGTTTAGACTACTGCAACGCTCTCTACGTGGGGTTGCCTTTGAAGACGGCCCGGAAGCTTCAATTAGTCCAACGCCGGCAGCCATGATACTAACAGGAGCGGGACGCAGGGAGCATACAACCCCCTTGCTGTACCAGCTCCACTGGCTGCCGATTTGCTACCGGGCTCAATTCAAGGTGCTGGCGTTGGCCTATAAAGCCCTAAACGGTTCCGGCCCAAGATACCTAACTGACCGCCTCTCGGCCTATGAGCCCACGAGGACTTTGAGATCTTCCGGGGAGGCCCTGCTCTCGATTCCGCCTGCGTCACAGGCACGGCTGGCGGGGACGAGAGATAGGGCCTTCTCGGTGGTGGCTCCTCGGCTGTGGAACACCCTTCCCGTGGACATCAGGCTAGCTCCCTCCCTGTTGATATTCCGCAGGAAATTAAAGACCTGGCTGTTTAAGAAGGCATTTGAACAAGAAGTGCAATGATTGGTAATTTGACCATAGGAATGGAACAACGGAAATGATACCGGATTGTGGGTTTGACGATGAGACGACACGGAATGGCTTTTGTAGTAATGTTGATGTTTTTGATTAGGATGTTTTTTGATAATGATGAATTGTGGATTATTTTACACTATGTTTTGTATTTTGCACCTGTTTTTCTATGTTGTACACCGCAATGAGTCGCCCCTGGGCTGAGAATTGTGGTATATAAGCGAAGTAAATAAATAAATAAATAAATAAGCAACTGCACTGGTTGCCGATTGAGTGTCAGATTACCTTCAAAGTGCTGATTCTTACCTTCAAGGCCTTATATGGCATGGGGCCGGAATACCTGAGGAATCACCTCATCCCCTACAAGCCCCAGGGATCACTCTGTTCAGACAACCAGAATTTACTTGAAGTTCCCAATTTTAGGACCTTTCACCTGATGTCTACTAGGCGTAGAGCATTTACGGTGGTGGCTCCTTACTTGTGGAATGCCTTGCCACCTGGGACACAAGCTCTCTGAGATTTACTATCTTTTCATAGAGCTTGTAAAACTTATTTATTCAGGCTGGCATTTGAACCTTGCTGATTGAATTCTTCTTTGATTTTAAATGTTATGTATTACATGTGTATGTTGTGAACCGCTCCGAGCCTTCGGGGAGTGGTGGTATACAAAATTGATTAATAAATACATAAATAAATAAATGTAGAAAGCAAAAAGGAATTGATTAATTGGTGTCCAGATAATTGTGTTTTTTTAAAGGGGGAGGTGTTAATTGCATCTCTGTCAGGACTTTCCATTTCATATAACGCATACTTGCTTTCAGATATTTTTAAATTCACTAGAATTTGGGTTCTGAACAATACTTACTTACTTAGGTGATCCCTCATTGTCCGAGTAGGATTGTTCTCCAAGATCAGTGTACTGGCAGTGGGCCCTATTCTTGATCTGGATCTTCTCCTGCAGTGAGAGCATTGGTTTCCAGATGGAAGGTAGTCCTGGTCGGTGTTGGCTTGATGCGCATTCCTCTTGGCACATTTCTCTCTTTTGCCCTCCATTCATGCCTCTTCAAATTCTACAGCACTGCTGGTCACAGCTGATCTCCAGCTGGAGTGCTCAAGGGCCAGGGCTTCCCAGTTCTCAGTGTCTATGCCAGAGCTTTTAAGGTTGGCTTTGAGCCCATCTTTAAATCTCTTTTCCTGCCCTCCAGCATTCTGTTTTCTGTTCTTGAGTTCGGAGTAGAGCAACTGCTTTAGGAGATGGTGGTCAGGCATCTGGACAATGTGGCTGGTCCAGCGGAGTTGATGGTGGAGGACCATCGCTTCCATGCTGGTGGTATTTGCTTCTTCCAGCACACTGACATTTGTCCGGTCTTCCCAAGGATTTTTTGGAGGCAACGCTGATAGAACTATTCTAGTAGTTGAATGTGACGTCTGTAGATAGTCCACATTTCTCAGGCATATAGCAGGGTTGGGAGGACAATAGCTTTATAAACAAGCACCTTGGTATCCCTACGGATGTCCCAGTCCTCAAACACTCTGTGCTTCATTTGGAAAAATGCTGCACTCACAGAGCTCAGGCGATGTTGTATTTCAGTGTCAATGTTGACTTTGGTAGAGAGGTGGCTGCCAAGGTAGCGGAAATGGTCAACATTTTCTAATGTTACACCATTAAGCTGTATTTCTGGCATGTGAACAACACATGCCATTTATCTCTCTAGTATATAAGTAGTGAGAATTTTATGAATGCAAGCCATGTTGTAATTTGGTAGTACTTGTGCTTTTCTGTTGAGAGTACTCATCCCTGTGTCCCTTGGTTGGGAAGAGTTTAAGTGAATGTTATTTCCTCCCTGCCAATCTCTCCCTCTTTGTAGGTCCATTAATCAGCAGGAATTAGGTTTCTGCAGAACCACAACTTTGACAGCTGGTTCACTATTATTTCCCATTCAGCAAGTTCTCATTCATTCATTCATTCATTCATTCATTGATGATTGGTACTCAGCTTGAGTCCCTTGGCATCCCTTGGGACCTTCGCCATGCCTACAGAATGGTAGTTTAGTATACAATGCATGGATGCTTTTTCTGTAGACCTACAGTCTACTGGTGGAAGCCATAAGGGAATAAGAGGAAGAATTAGCCTGTGTGTTTGTGTGGCTGTGCTCCAGTAAATATTTTGATGCATCTGCTGCCAGCTCTGGTCTGAGGGAATCTACCTAGCATTTAAATTTTGATGGGGAGCTGTTTTGAATAATAACAGTGCAGCCGGCTGTGAGTCAGTGCATGTGTGTTGACTGAAGGAAGAAAAAAAATCTCAAAGCTTAATGCTTGCTGAACGCTGAGCTGCAGTGCTTTCCTTTGCCGCCTCCCCTTCTTTCTAGTAGATATTCCACACAGATTTTTTCCCCATTCTTTCTCTTGTTCATTGGGGTGGGGGAGGGAGGAACAGCAACAAAAAATAATAATAGCCCCTCACCCAAGTAGCAGTTGCAATGGGTGCTGTCATGGGCACGTTCTCATCTCTGCAAACCAAACAAAGAAGACCCTCGAGAGGTAAGGATAATCTTTTATTCTCACCACCCCCTTTCCCTTTTCCCTCTCATGTGTATGTGTGAGTAGTGGATTTTACACTGTTCGTTTAGAAGGAAGGCAGAGGAAAAAAGCAAAGCATGTGCCACTTGCAACTAACACAGCCACACTGCTTAGGAGAGGCAATTCCCTGAAAACGGCAGGGAACCGTGTGCATGGGTGTGTGTGGAAAAGCGTGTGCTTGTCTCTCTGTGTGCATAAAGGCTGCTGAAGGAGGGAAAGGGATTTGGGGATTTCCCACTTATTTTCTTGGAGGGGGGAGATGCTTGTGAGGTTGTGTAAATCCTTCACACAGACATGTGGAAGGAAGAGAAGTAGGAAGGCAGACTGCCGTGCAGCACACTTGCGGAAGAGACCTGTTTACTCCTGGTCCCATGCTGTGGCTTTAATGCACTGGGGAGTAGCATCAGCATATGGGAGAATGCTTTCCTGGTTTGCTTTTTGTGATGATTTTAGCTATGAAACACATATGTCAGTTCTGCAATAATGTAGACTAGATGCTGTCAGTTGTATCAAATGCTCATTATTTTGAGAGGGGCTGGGGAAGATAAAAGCCAGAGGGACATTTCTCTAAGGAGTAGGCATGAGAGATGTTCAAATGGGGGCAGGAGAGAGCAAGCGTTTGGATATTCTCCCCTTCCCTAATTTAAATCCTTAAATCAGCAGATCTTGCATTTAGCATGCTAATAGTCCAGGAATTCTCTAACACTGACAGTGGGTGGTTTATTTGCCCTGTTTTCCATGTGGGGTTAACCCAAGCTTCAGAGGATGCTGGGAAGCAGAAAGTTGGAGGTGCATGAGGGGTGGGTGAGGCTGAAGCAAGCAGTTAACAGAAGAGGAGGAAGGGTTTGTGTCTGGAAAAGAACATAGATTTCGCATTCCCTTCATTTTAGGAATGAGCAACAATGGCAGATCACACCCTTTAAATGTGATCATGACCAAGAGGTTTTGAAAGCAACTTTTTATTTTGATATTTGTGAACATAACTCAATCTGCTATTAAATCACAACCACTGGCAGAAACAGATAATGAATGCTAATTCTTGATGAATTTGTGGGTTTGTAGTGTGAAAGGTTGGTCAGAGTATGAGGTAGATATGACCCAGTCAGGAGCCTTATTTCAAAGGAAGACAATGGGAACTAGATTCATAAAAGCTTAACTGTGTGCAAGATTGTTGACTATACATTTTCAGTAATCTTTTAGGCATTGTTACTATAGAATGTGAGCATGCCAGACCAGGTATTAAGTATTTTAAAACAGCAGGAGTTGTCCAATTCCTAGATGAGCCACCCTAAAGACCAACTGATACAGTTGCATTTGATACACATGCACACAAGTCTCTGTCAATTTGTGGTTTCAATCTCCATACATTTATACACATAAAATCTAATTCTGAAGCAGATGGTTCCCCAGCAGAAAATGTCCTGAAAATGTTCATACTCAAACTTTCACCTATATTTACAGAAGTGTGTGTATCTGTGTGTGCCTTTGTTTGTAACTGAATTGAATCTATCAAGTGGTTTTTTGAGAAATGTAAATGCCTCTGATTAAATATACTTATTACTTCGGGGAAAAATATTGTTCATATAGTTGAATAGATTTGATTTCTCTGAATATGTGATGGTGGTGAACTTTCAGTTTTAGGTGTCAGCAATAAGAGCAGGTTTTGAGCAATCATGACCAGCAAGTTGGAAGGAAGCCTTTTCCACTCTTTGCTAAGGTTTAATTTAATGCAAGGATTTGAAATATGGATCACACGTTTGGCTGTGTAAAGCCAGTGCTTTAAGTAGCATGGGAGTGGCGAAACTGTTTGAAAACTTTGGAATTGTAATAATAATAATAATAATAATAATAATAATAATAATAATAATAATAGTTTATTTTTAACCTGCCCTCTCCCCTCAAATGAACTGAAGGCGGCTTCCAAGCATAAAATTGGCAAACATTCAATGCCATCAAATCAACATTGATACATTTAATTCAACAATAATTGTACTCTTCCTTCTATATGAATAACAATCAGAATTCCTTCTGAATAAATGTTAAATACTTACTTGCTTATGGTCTGTGACCATTATAAGGATTTGATTACTTGCTCCAGTAAAGCAGAATTAGGGATGATCTTCTTCTCCAACCCAAGAACTGGTTTCAATTCCATTGAAGTTCTTAGGTCTGCATTCTAGGGATGGATGGGACCAAAATCATAAGACTGGGGCACAAAATAACAACATATTTTAACTTCAAGCTCCTGCTGCCAATAGTAACTTTTTAGAATGAAAAAATACTCAGCAAAAACCTGGGAAAACCACCACAAAAGGATTTCATGTAGATGGGGACATAGCCACCTGTAGAAGCTTAGAGGATGGGGATACCATCTTTGGAGTGGAACTGGAATTGGGTTTTCCTAGGGTTTTCCATTTTCCTCCCAAATCATATCTCCCTATTTGCACAGGTCTTGAAACCATTGGTCTCTGTTTCTGTAGGAACAGAATTTGGACTGCTGGGTTTTACACCATATTGTTGGCTGCAGCAATGGCTTGCATTTATATTTTAGAGACAGAGGATTGAGAAATGTTTCTTTCCTTCATTATACCAAAAAAGAAGGCTGTAGTTGATTCTACAACCTTCTATAACTACCCACTTTTGCAAAGGAGTAGAAGTTGTTCATCCCACTGCCTTTGAGACAATTTGGAAATATGTGGATAGTATCTCCACACAGTTGTTGCTATCATCTCCCCTGCAAATGTAGCCTTGTTTTAGGGATGTAGAAATATGCTGCAGTACTAGCTTTGTACCAGCTCTAAGAAACTCTCATTTCTTTTCTTCCATCTCTGTACTCAGAGATTGCATGAAAGATTTCAAGAAGCCAGTTGTACAGTCTTTTCATCCAAACATTTTAAAAAATTACTCTACATTGTGTAGGAATTGGAAGCCCTAACAACTGTTGAAGAATGTATAATCCCTTTGAGGAGGAAGAAAAAGTCACCTCTTCAATCCACAAATTGGTGTATAATTAATTCCTCATACTTTTCTGTCTTCCTATAATTAAAAATTGCTTGAGAATTAAAATTTGCACTCATTTGTAGAATGGGAAAAACATTAGACATATTTGTAAAAAAATGATCAAAACAATGTGTTCCTCAAGTGTTGAGACACCCTGGCAAGAATAATCCTAAACTGATATGATTTTTTGCAGGGTTTATTTTGTTCAAAAATTGCATTTGGTTGTTTTGTGGAGGACACAGTGTTTTATTTCCTGTGTAGAAAATGCTGTAGTTGGAGACATATTCTGCAAAAATGGAAATAATCACCTTGGCTTTTTTTTTTTTTGCACAAGGAACAGTTTTTATGGCATAGAATTTTTTCACAATGAAATATTATTTTCTAAATGAGAAGGGCTGTTTTTTAAAGAAAAAAGTGAAGATTTTGCGCACAACGTCCTAAACTCAGAATGTTCTTTCAAAATGGTAGAGTTTTCAAAGATGTTCTTGCAGCAAAAAAGAAAATTGGTCAAAGTACTTGCTGATTCCTTCAAGAAGAAAATTAGTGAAGAATGAATCACAATCAAGGCTATTAAATGAACTGGCTGAAGTAATTTCAGAACCACTGGCAATAATCTTTGAGAATTCTTAGAGAACAGGAGAAGTCCCAGTGCTAATCAACATCTTTAACAATGATTTGGATGATAGAATAGAAGTAACACTTATCAAATTTGCAGATAACAGCAAATTGGAAGGGATAGCTGATGCCTGAGAGAACAGGATCAGAACCCAAAATGACCATAACCAATTAGAGAGCTGGACCAAAATAGACTCCACCTAAACATTAGAATGAACTTCCTGATGATAAGAATTGTTAGACAGTGGGTATGCTGCCTTACAATGTGGTGGAGTTTTTAAGCAGAGCCTGGATGGTCATCTGCCAGGAGTATTTGATCATGTGCCTCTGCATGGGAGGGGGTGCACTAGATGGTTCTCGTGCTCTCCTCCATCTCTAGGATTCTATGATAATTATTTCCATAAATGTTGTTCTGTTTTCTTAAATCATAGGCCCCTTCTACACTGTTGTATATCGCAGTTTCTGATCCTAGACTATCTGCTTATCCCAGATTATCTGGCAGTATAGACTCATAAAATCCAATTCTAAGCAGATAATCTGGGATCAGATCCTGGAATATAAGGCAATGTAGAAGAGTCCTTAGATACTAGTCTTTGTGATGCATATTCCATTTTAGATTTGATGCATTTGACGAAACATTTATTTCCAGAAAAACTATTTGTATATTTGTTGAGAAAGTCGCACTCCAAAGCAGGAGTGAACAATTAGTGGAACCTTACATGCATCCATTTAGGCCCATTCTACTCTGCCATATAAAATGCAGACTATCTGCTTTGAACTGGGTTATCTGGCAGTGTAGACTCATGTAATCCAGTTCAAAGCAGATAATGTGGATTATCTGCCTTGAAAATCTGGATTATATGGCAGTGTAAAAGTTGTCTTAGAGTTACTGGAAGTCTGCTTCTGGTTCTGAAAAGAGCATTTTAATGTTAAATTGCATGAGGAGAGCATCAATGTTCTATTTAAAAGGTGAATCACAATTTCTGAAAAACAGAGTGGTTCCTGGGAGGTCAGGGGCCACAAAACCATCCTTATTAGGGAAATTACTTCATCCAACTGTGGCCCAAGGCCTTGATCCAAAGGACAGCATGTCCATGAAAGCTTTGAACTTCTGTTTTTTGAACAGCAGGCATTCAATGCTGCATTTCAACACTCTCTTGAAATGAGGGAGAGGCTCAAAAACAGTTTGTGATATGGCAACAGCAGACATGTGAAAATCTGTCAGTCTTGTTCTCACTCAGCTTCTCCATTTCCCGCCATTCTAATTCTATTCCTTTTCTCTACTGGTGTGTTAGACTTGTTTTCTCCACAAGAAGATGTATATGCATTTTGGAGTCTCTTTCAAA